ATATTTATCTATCTTTATCTATCTACCTATCTATCTATTTGTCTGTCTGTCTATCTAATCTAATCTAATCTAATCTAATCTAATCTAGTCTAATCTAATCTAATCTAATCTAATCTATCTATCTAATCTATCTAATCAATCTAATCTATCTAATCTATCTAATCTATCTAATTTATCTAGTATATCTAATTTATCTTATCTATCTATCTATCTATCTATCCATCCTATCTAATCTTACTTATCTATCTATCTATCTATTTGTCTGTCTGTCTATCTATCTATCTATCGATCTATCTATCTATCCATCTATCTATCTATCTATCTATCTATCTATATCTATCTTTATCTATCTACCTATCTATCTACCTATCTATCTAATCTAATCTAATCTAATCTAATCTAATCTAATCTATCTATCTAATCTATCTAATCTATCTAATCTATCTAATCTATCTAATCTATCTAATCTATCTAATTTATCTAATTTATCTTATCTATCTATCTATCTACCTATCTATCTATCTATCGATCTATCTATCTATCTATCTATCTATATTTATCTATCTTTATCTATCTACCTATCTATCTACCTATCTATCTATCTAATCTAATCTAATCTAATCTAAATCTAAATCTAAATCTAATCTAATCTAATCTAATCTAATCTAATCTATCTATCTAATCTATCTAATCTATCTAATCTATCTAATCTATCTAATCTATCTAACGATCGATCGATCTATCGATCGATCTATCTATCTATCTATCTACCTATCTATCAAATTGAAAATAAAAAATGAACTAAAACAAAAAAATATATAAAGGCAAAAAACAAACAACTGAAAAAAATACCGAAAAAAAACTTGACACAATAGCGACACCCTCAATCAATTACAGAGATCCTGAATTATTTTGGAAAAACTTGACACAATACCGGATCTATCCACTAATCAGGATCCAACATTATACAATGTATCCACATATTTGGCTTGTGAATCGCATCCTACCGCCGCAATATCTGCTTTCCGTTGAACCTCAAACACCAGTGCTACCGTGCTTAGCAGCGCACATTTTTTTGCCGAAGAATTGACGAAGCGCGGAGTCTTGTCCGCGGGACTCTTGTTGTGGCTGCGCATCGCGCGGTGGTTTCTGGAGCAGCTGATATTCCGCTGAAAGAGTTGATGTCTTGGAAATTGTAGCAACATGTAGTTCCACTCCATGGCCACTGAACAAACTAGGAATCCACATGGAGTTTGCCAAAGCACCGTTTCTTTGGGGACTCCGAAATCACAAAGAACCCCGCTGGATGCAATGTTCACTGCTCAAGCTGGGAAGTTCCTGTCAAAAATTGGTCGTCGTTAGGTGATCTCTGATCGCAATCAGCCAATCTAACGGTAGCCTCAAGGATGAAAGCTGCTCTAATCTCAAGAATTGGATAATTGATAAGTAGTTCTTACAGAAAAAGTTCTGTTTCGCACTTTGGTTTCGCAATTTGGCTCCAGAAACTAAGACAACAAAAGTCGCCCCAAATCGCCCCAAGTTGTTTCAGCTTTATCTGTCAGGTAAACGTTGCGCACACCGTGCAACGCAGCTTGGTGTAGAACTTGTCGTAACGAAACTTGTTTTTTATACGTATTGCCACTCAAGTGGTTGGTGTTTTCACTTTTAGAATATTTTAGATTTGTTTATATATTATTAATATTTATTATTATATATACCCTGGGCGTCAATGTTGAAGTTTACCTTCTACGCGGACAATGTTGATGTTTGGGTTGGTTAAACATCCACATTCGCAATGTTGATGTTTAACCCCTGTGAAGAAATCGATGGACCTTGGAAGCGCAATGAAGTGCAAAATCATCATACATATATTCATCATTCCAATTTCCCAACGTGTAAGGGCCCTTGGAACTGAATTTGAAACCTACAAGATCCTACAAGTATTGAATTTCCAGACAGGAAACAGATCAAGGAACCATATTTGCAAGTATTTGCATTTTTACTGTCAGAGTTCACGGACAAAACATGGGACCTTAAACAGTTTGTAAAGTTGCCGCTGGCTCTATATTTACCCAGCCATTACCAGCCCTTGTACCTGGGTTGTTTGGAGCGACCTGAATATCTTGGCGCCCAACAACGGGCTCTTTGCAGATTTCTACCTGACAGATCGTGGCTGACAGCTGGTTTAGACCGCATCGATTTCTCGAGAAATGGGTTTGTCTGAAAATAGGGTATATTCCCAATTATAGCCATTTAATAGGGATAATGATCATTAACCATTGGGTTTAGGGGTACACTATTTTCAGACACACCCAAATCAAGACGCAGGGAAAACCAATGATATTTTCCCCTCGGTCAGAAGATTTTTGCCTCGTGACTAGCGTGACTGGCATTCCATGCTTAGGTGACCCACTTAGAGCTGAATGGAGTGTCACTAGGCCTCGAAGATGCGGCGCCTTTGCCCTGAAGTGGACCCAAAACCTACTAGTACTGTTGGTACATGTTGTTTCCGTTTGGGTACAAGGTTTTTGATCCATAACCATGTATATAACACATTATAACATGATATGAATACTAAGTAATCAAAAACAGGATGAATCAAATCAAATTGTTCGAATCTTTCACTATTGCCATTTTTTTACACTATTTTATATCCCCATGTATCCTAATTCCTACATTGCACAAGCCTCACTGGTAACTCCTCGAAATCCTGTGGCGCGGAGAGCACTGGGCGCTGCATAACGCCACGCTAGTGGCCCAGCACAGACTTGACCAAGTTTGGTGGCTTGGTCCTAAGTGGCTCAATTTTTTCGTCAAAATAGCAATTCAAAAAAGATCCAGTGCTATGTTTGTTTCCAGGTATTTCAATTTTGTTGAAAGATGTTTTATGTTTTTACTACTTCATCTACTCTTGAGCCATGTCCAGCCACCATTCATATTCAATGAATAATCTTCAATTTAGGACGCGGAGGAGGTGGTTTCCCGTGCAGGTTGGGATATGTTGGGATCAAGATGGATCAAGTGTCCCAGTTGAATAGCAAGAAAACACGGAAGGCTGGAAGGCTGATGAGTCAGAATTAAAGAAATGACAAGCAACTATGGTTGATTGTGTTCTGGATGATAGGCTAATGATGGCTAATGGAGACGTTCAGTATCTCGTTATATCTCGTTGCCATGAAGATACATGACGTAAGCACCTACAGTGTATTGGTAATGAACTTTTTGTTACAGTAATCATTGAGTCCCCGGGAATGGAAAGTCAGGTGCCCACAAGTTTTACTCCGTGCTTCTTGTACAGCGGTGCCGTGGTAAATATACCGCTTCTGGGTTTGGTTTTGAAATAGTGGGTCATCCTACCTGCTTGAATGGTATTTGTGAACTGACTTAACCAAGATCAGGAATAATACCCATATTCACCACCCAGTATTTCGTGGAATGGTATGAGGAAGATCACTTGTTCAATTCCAGAAAACATGCCCAGCAAGTCAGCATAAATCAGCTCTCAAAAAGCCTTGTCCACCTCACTAGAGCTTGCAAATGCAGCTTGGTAGATATTCGCAGGGATAGTAGAAGGAATTGTTATATCTTAGTGCTGGAAAGTTGATAGATGAGGTGTATAACTATAATTCTGATTTGGGAAATGTGATGATATATATATATATATACCCAGCTTCTATTCATTTCAAGAGGAAGTGTGCCAGGTGTCATGCGTCTATGCAATCTTGCCGTCACATGGTGAACCCCACTCACTTTGAAATCTGCAACAAGCAGTCCGTCCGACTACGAGCCGTCCGAGCACTCGCTTTGAAATCTGCAAAAAGCAGTCCGTCCGACTACGAGCCGTCCGAGCAAGCCCTGCAGCGGAAAAGGCTATCTTTTCTCGGGCGTCATCCTGGATCAACAATCGTTGGGCCAACTTTTTTCAAGAAATTCCACATGCTACACATGCTATCATTGAGCAATTTACATCACTGTACATACTATATGATACCCCATAGGATCCATGTATGCTATATATGGCAACATTTACCATCAATATACCTCAAATGTTAGCATATATACCATACATGGATCCTATGGGTACTATATGTTCAATCGCGGTGCTCAAAGGTACCGAAATCATACCATCCATGTCCAGGTTTGTTTACCTATGCGAATGGGTGATTTGTTAGATAAATCTAGGCAAAATCTTCCTTAGCATGGTTCAGGAAATCTATGGTTCGGGCTCAAAGGAAAACCATAGAGAAGCATGGTCAAAGTTTTAGGACCAGATGATCACGATTTTTGGGAACTGCCCGTAGCCAAAGAGGATTCAGAAAAATCCCGGGTTGACCGGTTGTTTATGAGTCTTTTCTCAAACATACCCTCTGGTAAACGTTTACATAACTATAGAAAATCACAATTTTCAATGGGTAAATCAACTATAAATGGCCATTTTCAATAGCTATGTTAGTTTACCAGAGGGCAATGGAAGAGATGCAAGCCCACATTGAATCCTTATTCGCGTCTTATGGTTTTGCTTCCTGGTCTTGGTGAGGCCGTGATGTTTTTTCGTTGGTTAAAGCCATGAAATCTTTGGAGATATCTAGCATAAACCCTAGAATGCACCTAATATCCTAATGAACTAAAGCAAATCAATCAAATTAGCTATCATAAATGGGTGCCTCACCTCGGAAAAAATGAGTGAAGGATGTTTTTTTTCGGCTTTTTGCTGTTGGGCTCAAGGGCTAGGATGATTGGGATGGGACAAGACTCAGAGCCCAGGGCGGTACAGAAGCCCTGTATAGAAAAGATTGTTCAGAGGGATCCACGATCCACACATCTATGTGACAGTGTATGATAGTGTATGTATAAGTATTTAATTGATTTTTAATTGAAAAAATCAGCTGTTTTTTGTGTTTTAATACATGCTCGAAAAACATATGTATTACTTTCTACATGTAGAAATCCAAAAAAAAAATCGGTAGCACCAGCCAGTCGCTGAACGAAACCTTCTCGTCATGGCGCGAGATGAAGGTGGGTGAAATCCATGCCAATCTGATACCCTCCGGTTATGTCAAAATATCTATTGAAAATGACCATTTATAATGGATTTACCCATTGAAAATGGTGATTTTCCATAGTTATGTTAAATTACCAGATGGTAATCTGATAATCTGTTGGTGGTTTCTATTGGTTTCCAGGCCGAAATGGCGTAACTTCTTTGCACATCACCGCGGAGTATGGTGAACAGATGTGAACAGCTTTGAAACCGCTGGGCCATCATGGGAAATGGATGGAAATAGCTCATTCTTTGGATCCCAGCACTGGTTGATTTGGATGATACCCCATGTGGATTCCAGGTTTATGGAGTGAAAAAGAGTCCAAATAACTCAGATGTTCCAAATGGCTTCAACCAGTAGAAACTTCGTTTGGTTGCTCCGCTCCGTCCTAGGTTAGCTGAAAAATTGGTGACTTTCCCTCTGATTTCGTCAACCTCATGAATACTACAGTTATATTCCCCATAGGACCATCAGTTCACCAAGTTAGCTAAGTGTCAACTTAGCTATCGCAGGGCTTGGGATTGATGTCCTCTTTGGAAAATGTTGAACATCACATCTGACATCTGCAATGTCAACCCTGGATTAATAAACCCCAAACGATTGTTTAATTGGGAGGGTACCATAAAAAAGTATCATATGAAATGACTATTGGAAGGGTACCCTCCTAATTAATAAACCAGGGTTTATTAATCCGGGGTTGACATTAGTATTTCTTGGAGATTATATCCCCTTGTTAGTCGGGTGATGTGAAAATTAGGACCTGGTCCGGACAGGTACCGACCCCTGCGAAACATCATATCCCCATGAAAATATGTTCCCAATTACTGTATGATTTCTATGAAACATAGAAGCATATAAGATATCATGTAAGAACCATATGAGAACCAGATTTGATAGATATATGTTTTTTTCTTATAAACATTATATATATGTACATAGAAGCCATATAAACCATATGTAATATCCCCGATATCTATCACATATGGTTCTTATATGGTTTTTGTTTATATGATAACTTGTATAAGACAATGATATGGCAACATGTGTGAACTATATATGATATGTTAATATAACTAAAAAAAATGTTTATGTAAACCATATGGTTTATTATTCGTTCATGAACTTATATGCTAACTTAAACAATGCAAATATAAGTCAATGAAACTTACAACCATGTTACATACTTGACTTAGAAAATATCATTATTATGTAAATTATTGTGATAGTTGGTATAAACAATATCCTTATTATCGTTACTATAAACATTATATAACATATTACATGGGAATTACATGGAATCATTCATCGCCCAGACAAGTTGCCCATCGACCTGGCGGTGGAGCTGGAACGTGCTCGCAGGCGTTGTTCGGACGGGGTTTGGAGACCGGGACGTTTGTTGCATTTTCCTTGGGAAACGAAGCTTGAAAACGAAAATCTTGACAGGGTTTGGAGAGGATTGCAGAGAGTACAGGTCACGCTCCAAACAGGCAGTGTTGGTGACGACATCATGCTGACACTCGGGTGAAAGCGCTTAGGAAGAAGCGCTTTCAAGAGCATGTTCAACTCAACATGGATGAGGCGTCGACTATGTTTATAATATGTGTATAGTATTATAGTAATAGGTAATATGTAATAATACAACATTGTATCATGTTTTCAAGAGATTTGATGTTGAATGAGTTTGATATGTTTATTTGTTTTTAGTGTTTTATAGAAGTAAGACTACATTATCTCCTGTCCTACTCTTTCTAGGAGTCTCCTATGTTTATACTAATCCCCCAAAAAAAGATAGAAACTACAGATAGAAAAGCTTCATGTTATATCAAGTTGATTCAAGTTGTATGCTTCGGAGCTATGGCCATGGTATTTGTATTCCCTCAAGTGGGCGTCGTGCACAACCAGATGATAGATATGTCTATGGTAACCGGTCCCCAAAATGATCAAAAGCTTGAATTTACCACGATATTTTAGTGGCATGTTGATTTTCTATCTATATAAATTTGGGGCTTACGCTTACTATATGCATTTTGTTTCAGTGTTTGTTTTCTTATTTGGGGATTTGATGGGGATAGGTGTCTTCTCAACCAGATTTTGAAATAGGAACGGGTCAAAAACATACGATTCGTCATGTTTGTGGGGATGTTCATCCAATTTCATACCCAGCGGCAATCATTTTGAGGTGAACAGAAGGGTTTTTCAAACGGCTTTTGATACCAAGATACGGATGTTGGGCATTTGATGAAGGGCTTTGGTTGACAATAACGAGGTAACTAACTGATCAGCAAAAACGAAGAATTTGGGCGGGGTAAACCAACAATACTAGGCACCATATTTGCCAGGCGTATAGTTGTGAGACTCTGCTCTTGGGTTCACCTGGTACTTGATGGGTATAATGTTATCTCTGAGGCACAGCTGAGGCAAACTAATCTAGAGATGGAAAATTTCCATGTTTAGTTTCACTTTCAGAGTTGCTTTGCGTTTTTCAGATGTTAACATATATATATAGTTGGTTGATAGATGTACATTAATTGCAAGTACTTGATTGCATCTAGACACAAAAGAAAAAACAAAAAACATAAGATGTACTGTAACTATGTATAACTATGTAATACGTGTTTTGTTCCATAACTATGTAATAGGTATTTTTTTTCCATATGAAGGTTTCCATAGTCATAGGGGATCCCCTTTTTTGCCGGTTTATTTCATCAATGGCCACTTCAGGAACCGATTCATTGGAGGTGCCTACCATATATAAGACCTATTTTTCGCTAAATTTCAGGGGATATAACTGATATAACCCGCAAAATAGGCTCAGAAATATGGTACTCCCCCCTGGTAATTTGTTACAGTTCGCTATTGAAAATAACCATTTAGAAAGTTCTAGTCGATTTTCCCAGCTATAAACTGGTGATTTTCCAGTTTTTCCCATTAAAACTGGTGCTTTTCCATCGTTTTTTGTTAACGTTTACCAGGCCGGTGTTCACGCAGCTTACCAGACCTGATCTCCGGGTCACGATCTCCCGATTTCGATGGGATTTGTGCCGCCAGTGGCCCGCCAGGCTGGGAGATCGTTTCGACGGTGGGGAGGATGGCAGCGGTGAACTTGCAACTTGGAGGACTTTTTTTTGTGCAGCCCAGTGGTTTAGAACCCATAATTATAAATATATTCAGTATATAGACTTATATATAGACATATATGTATATTTATATATATGTATATATGTAAAAAAAAACTGTACATATCCCATATATGATATGTAAACCATATAATCCCAATAGATATATATATATATATCACAATTTTTGTATATATATATGTATGATAAGATATAATCCAGTGGGGATCTTCCATTTACGAAACGTGCGATGCAGATCCAAGTGAGGTAAACTTTGTTGAAAATCCCACCATGGATGTAGATTCCAAAGGGGAAAGCCCTAGGTTTCCACATTTTTTTGTATGTTTAGTCAAGGCAATTGGATCTCATTGGAAGATATCTAGGTAAACTGCTGGGTTTTACTGCTGGGATCATCTGATTCTCCCATTCCGCACCAGTTCGAGACCTGGATCTCCAGCGGTTTGTTGGCTCATTTGACCCCAAACACCATAATTTCTTGGAAATTCAGTCCTTATTTTGGTGGAAACCATGCATCACCATCATACCTAAACCGCCCGTATTTTTCCATCTTGTTTTGGAGGGTTAGTCCCTATAGACCGCCACGGCCGTTTCCGGTGGGACACCAACTCCGTCGGTTTTCCGCCCCCCTAGGCACGAGAACAACGTGCCAGGCGTTTGAGTGCCGAGTTCCTGTCACTCCGCTGCAGTTGATATCCCAACCTTGGATAAACAACCAAGATAGCCATGGAAAATCATGGGTACCCTCTGGTTATTTAACCTTAAAAATGGTGATTTTCTATGGCTATGTTAAATAACCAGATGGTAATCCATATCTATGTTTAATTACCATATGTTTATATATTCCATATGTTTCCATAGTTTTTCATGCTTGAGAGTTGTTTGCTACGTATATATAAATGGAAAGATTGACCTTAAATGTGTCACAGGAAAATCTGTGGAAACATCAATCTGTCTCGCATGTGGGTATTTCGCAACTGGGAATCCACCATCCCCAACTTGAAACCATTCTTTACCATTCTTATGGATGGTCTATGTTTTTTCCTTGGAAAAACCATGGGGATTCTTCGATGAAACGATGGAAGAAAACGATGGAAAAACCACTGACGCCTCCATGATGCAACTTAGGCCCTAGTTCAGTAGCACTGTTTGAGATGGGGATGTAGTTAGGAAATCGAGCCTTCCCCATGCCATGTAATGTCCCCAGAATCTTGTGAAATGTTGTGAATATACAACAAAAACATAGAAAATTTACGTTTGAACGGTTGAACCTGCCAAGAAATCAGATGATGGTTTCAGACACTAGTGAAAATCTCCCCTTGGCTTTGCCATGCTTTGCCCAAAACTGGTGGACACAACCCTGCGAGTAAAAATCCCAGCGATGAAAGTTTGGTGTCCCCTAAATTTTAGACAAAACCACATGGTTTCTCACATGGTTTCTCATGAACCAAGCGCATGTTGCAACAACTGCTTGGTGGTTTCTGAATGTTGGTTGATTTACATCCTTACCCTCTTCTCGGATGATCCCGAATGATCACATCAGCATCGAAATTCTCAGTGTTCGTTCTGCCATAGCTATCATAGCTGTACCACTATGTCTCAAACATTTCATCACCAACTTACCAAGGTGTTTACTTGTGAGTAAACATGCAAGAATCACCACGGAAACCATGGATTGTCGTGGATTTCCCATGGATTCTGGATTTTCCATGGATTTCCCATGGATTTTCCATATCTTTTAGTAGCTTTGCTTCCCGCCCAGTGCTGAGGAACCACGTGAGCTTGGGCAGTTTGCTGGGCAGAGCCACACAAGGCATCGCTCAGCTGGAGGAGAGTCTCGAGCTTCAGAGGCGCGACGGGTTCAAATTTGATCACGACCTCACTGCGACCGAACCCTGGAATCATGGTTTGGTTAAGGGAAATCATCCCCAAGATAGCCGAACTTTTCAGATGAGTGAATTATTTTTTTATTCACTCAGATATGTCTACCCAGTCTAGCCCATAAACAACTCACCGTTTTTCTGTCTGGGTCAAGAATTCTCATCATCTACCATTTTAGTTGATTATGAACCAGCATTTATTTTGATTGATCCCATTAAATCACAATTTGTCATCCTCAGTTTCACATCCTCAGTTGATCATAGACATTAGTTGGAAACCAACTTAGCTAACACATCAACTCCATATTAAATCGTTAATTAATAGGATTGTTCTACTGATTATTGTTGATGTTGATTGATTGTTTGAAATTTTATGCTACTCCTATGATCTCCTATGGGTATAATCCCCATTGGTTATTGTACCAAGTTGCTATTGTAAGGGATAAAAAAAACTGCTTTCATGATGTTTCATGGGGAGTATACCAATAATCGTATCGTTGATATTGGTGAGCGTGTATATATATATTGTATCATATTGCATCTAGTTGTGGGATCTAAGAATCTAGTGACAAGTTGGTAAAATTCCAATGACTAGATACGTCTGCATGGTTGATGACGTTGATGGGTCAAAATCTGGGATGCTTGGAGATACCATGAGGTACTCGAGATATACCCTCTGGTTATTCGTCACATAGCTATGGAAAATCACCAGTTTATAGCTGGGTAAATCAACTATTTCTATGGCCATTGTCCATAGCTATGTTAAATGATCAGAGGGTATTTGGATAGATTGTGATGACCTCACTGTGACATCAGATGACAAAAAATCCGGAATCATCCCACAAAACAAATCGCAGAAAGGTGGCCTTATTTCAGGCGGGTGAAAAAGGTACGTATAAATATATATAACTGGTTGGTGGTTTGGAACATTTTCATTTTTCTATATATATTGGGGATAATCATCCCAACTGACTAATATGTTTCAGAGGGGTTGCAACCACCAACCAGATAATGTGTTAGCCAACAAATGTGGGTGTTACCACGTTTGACCAACCCAAAATTAGGATTCACGTTAGCCAAGAACGTGGCTTTGACAAAAACTTTGAGTGAACCTTGTCCCTGAGAATTGACCAGCAAAAAAAGTGATGGTTCATAGCAACCCCAAATAGGAACTGTATTTGATGGATGGTTGACATCAAGGGCAAAATTCGGGGCCTAGAATCACGATTTGGGAATATTTTGGATATATTCTGTATACAGTATATATAAATATAAATATATATATATATATATATTAGAGGTGTCCGGAAATAGGGGTACCCCCAAATCATCCATTCTAATTGGATGTTCCATGAAAGAAACTCTCCAGCTATTGGGGTAGCACCATTGAAACCCCCTTTAAAACAGCTAAGGCAAAAACAGCTGAAGGCGCTTGCAGCCGAAACCTTTGTTGAGGTGCGGAGCAACAAGGAGCTCAAAGGAATATCATCCCAGAAATGGCCCAGTTCGTACAGCCAGGGAGCCAGTTGGAGCTACCTGAGTTTCCCAAGTAAGATAGCTATGTGGATAATAATGGGAAGTGATGATAGCGTGATAATCACTATATTATCAAGTACATCTGATTTGGCAATGGGATTTTTTTTCACTAAGGAGGGCTTGACAAACTGACCAAGTTGGAGCTACCGAGTTTCCCAACCATTAAGTGCTAGTGATGGCTGTGATGGTAGGTGTTTTTTGTTACAGTAACATACAGTACAGTAACCAAACGATAGAAAAGGTGCAATTAACCACTATAAATATATATATATATTTATTTATTTATTTATTGGTGTGATTTTTTATTTGTATTTTTTACCAAGTATTTTTGTGTGAAACTCAGGGCCACCAGCTTGTGATCCAGTGCGCCAAGCGGTGGGAAACGTTTGGACATTGAAACACCTGGGTTCTTCACCTATTCCAACAGATACCCTCTGGTAAACATATAAAAAGCTAATGAAATTGCCATTTACAGTGGATTTACCCATAAAAAAATGTGATTTTCCATAGTTATGTTGGTTTACTGGAGGGTAGATCATTTCTTGTTGAATGAAACCGCACTTTTGATTGTTTGTAGGTTTTGTATATTTATATTTTGCATACTCTTCCCCATCGAAGCTTATTTGCCAATTTCCAACCCGGCACACTGTTTGGATATATCGGCATTTCAGTTGATTCTAATACCAATTGTTTGGATTGTGAAACGATTCCGTAATGTCAACCCCAGATTCATAGACACTGAAAAGCATGGTCAATTATATTGCTTATGAATCCTCATAGCTATGTTGCTTGAATCATACACTTTAAATCCACATTAATCCCAATTGTGGTTACTATAAATCACCTAAATCAACATGTTTTTGATGGATAATCCCATATAAATCCCCATGTTTCATCACATTCCAGCTATTCAGGCTTAAATCACGGTTCCATCACCATTTTGGTTGGCTAGATCTTGTTACACTCTACATTTTTGCTGGTTCAATGCTGTTCAACCACCATTGTCCGTTACGGTTAAACGTCTCCGGTCGAGGAACTCCTCCCCCAAAACCATCGTTGCAAGGCGCCACCTGTCGCCCCCAGTCCATTGGAACGAAATCTACAGCGGACCTTGGATGAAGCTCGGGTCGCAGCGAGGTCGCACAACAGGTCGCCATGCAGATTTCTCTGAGAAAATGTGTTTTTTTGATGATTTTTGAATTGGATAATGATATTTTTTTTTTGCCTGCATAGAATGGGATATCTTTTTGTTTTTCCCGGCGGAGATGGGGTAATGACATATGAAGCTACCATAATATGGTAAGATGATAGGTTTATAATGGAATATCATGGGTTTTGAATGGTGTTCTTATTGCTTCATGAGATATGATGGGTTAGGACTTCTGGGTTAGGACTTCCCAAATGGGATTTATCATATCCCATTGCATCCCAATATATCCCTGTTCTTGTTGGTTGTTGGTTATATCTGGGATTTAAGGACTTAACCAACAAGAATAGGGATCTATAACAAACATTAACAAACCAATAGGGGTACAGTGAGGATATACTGTGTATATATATATTATATATATTATATATATATTATAATATATATATAATATATATATATTATAATGGTGTATACAACCAACGTAAGGGGAATACAATGGATTTTTATGGATGTTGTGATGGATTTCATATGGATTTCATGGGATGATGTCCATGAGTTTTGACCATGGCACTAGCGATGGGGTTTTGATGGGGTTACTCTATGGTAAACATACAAAAAGCTATTGAAAATGACCATTAATAGTGGATTTTCCCATTAAAAATGGTGATTTTCAATAGCAAACTGTTAAATTACCAGAGGGTAAACCGATTGAATTGTGTATACCAACAATAAGAGCGACTGCACATGATTGAAGCAATGAAATTACCGTTGTGTTGTGACCAACAACAAAAGTTAGCCGTTAATCAAACAACAACGCTGTGGTTTCAATAGCAATTACTTAATGGGATTGGGCCAAAAGTAGGGAACAAACATGGACATGGAATACAGGAATTGGACCAACAGTATCATAGGGGTGTTACCCCCAACAATATCGATATGCGATAAGTTACGAATATACCATGCAAATAATGGGATGTGATATGATCAAAGGAAGTTTAGTGGGAGAAACTTCCGTGTTACGGACTTTTAGAATGTAAAGAAAGAGTTAGTCAAAGAAAGAGTTAGTCAAAGAAAGAGTTAGTCAAAGAAAGAGTTAGTCAAAGAAAGAGTTAGTCAAAGAGTTAGTCAAAGAAAGAGTTCGTCAGTTAGTGAGGGAAAGAGTTAGTCAAAGAAAGAGTTAGTCAAAGAGTTAGTCAAAGAAAGAGTTAGTCAAAGAAAGAGTTAGTGAGGGAAAGAGTTAGTCAGGGAAAGAGTTAGTCAAAGAAAGAGTTAGTCAAGAAAGAAAGAGTTAGTCAAAGAAACAGTTAGTCAAAGAAAGAGTTAGTCAAAGAAAAGTTAGTCAAAGAAACAGTTAGTCAAAGAAAGAGTTCGTCAAAGAAAGAGTTCGTCAAAGAAAGAGTTCGTCAAAGAAACAGTTAGTCAAAGAAAGAGTTAGTCAAAGAAAGAGTTAGTCAAAGAAACAGTTAGTCAAAGAAAGAGTTAGTCAAAGAAAGAGTTCGTCAAAGAAACAGTTAGTCAAAGAAAGAGTTAGTCAGGGAAAGAGTTAGTCAAAGAAAGAGTTAGTCAAAGAAACAGTTAGTCAAAGAAAGAGTTAGTCAAAGAAAGAGTTAGTCAAAGAAAGAGTTAGTCAAAGAAACAGTTAGTCAAAGAAAGAGTTAGTCAGAGGCAAAGAAACAGTTAGTCAAAGAAACAGTTAGTCAGGGAAAGAGTTAGTTAAAGAAAGAGTTAGTCAAAGAAAGAGTTAGTAGCCAGGGAAAGAGTTAGTCAAAGAAAGAGTTAGTGAGGGAAAGAGTTAGTCAAACAAAGAGTTAGTCAAAGAAAAGTTAGTCAAGAAAGAGTTAGTCAAAGAAAGAGTTAGTAGCAAAGAGTTAGTCAAAGAAAGAGTTAGTCAAAGAAACAGTTAGTCAGGGAAAGAGTTAGTCAAAGAAAGAGTTAGTCAAAGAAAGAGTTAGTCAAAGAAACAGTTAGTCAAAGAAAGAGTTAGTCAAAGAAAGAGTTAGTCAAAGAAAGAGTTAGTCAAAGAAACAGTTAGTCAAAGAAACAGTTAGTTCGTCGAAGGTTCGTCAGGGAAAGGGTTAGTTAAAGCAAGAGTTAGTTCGGGCATTGATTGTTCCCGCAATGCAAATGGGATTGCAAGTGGTGCTGCCGGATGAGTTGCCGATGGAGTTTTGAAGGAAGTCTCGCACGAAATGCGTTTTTGAGAGATAGCAGATGCACGAAACCCTATGTTTTTCCATACAAAGTCTGTCCCCGAACCTCGATGATCTACCTCTGCGGTGCGACGGGTGCGAGACGGTCTCGTGTGTGGTCGGATCATGCTCGGATCATGGTCGGATCGGTCTCGGATCGGTTCCGCATTGTAAATGGGGTTTCAACTGTTTTTCGTGCATGTGCGGTCGACAGAATTCCATTGTGATTTGCAACTGTAGGATCGTTCCCGCATTGTAAATGGGATTGCAAGTGGTGCTGGTGGATGAGTTGCCGATGGAGTTTTGAAGGAAGTCTCGCACGAAATGCGTTTTTGAGAGATAGCAGATGCACGAAACCCTATGTTTTTCCATACAAAGTCTGTCCCCGAACCTCGATGATCTACCTCTGCGGTGCGACGGGTGCGAGACGGTCTCGTGTGTGGTCGGATCATCCTCGGATCATGGTCGGATCGGTCTCGGATCGGTTCCGCATTGTAAATGGGGTTTCAACTGTGTTTCGTCTATGTGCGGTCGACAGAATTCCATTGTGAATTGCAACTGTAGGATCGTTCCCGCATTGTAAATGGGGTTGCAAGTGGTGCTGGTGGATGAGTTGCCGATGGAGTTTTGGAGGAAGTCTCGCACGAAATGCGTTTTTGAGAGATAGCAGATGCACGAAACCCTATGTTTTTCCATACAAAGTCTGTCCCCGAACCTCGATGATCTACCTCTGCGGTGCGACGGGTGCGAGACGGTCTCGTGTGTGGTCGGATCATGCTCGGATCATGGTCGGATCATGCTCGGATCATTCTCGGATCGGTTCCGCATTGTAAATGGGGTTTCAACTGTGTTTCGTCTATGTGCGGTCGACAGAATTCCATTGTGAATTGCAACTGTAGGATCGTTCCCGCAATGTAAATGGGATTGCAAGTGGCGCTGAGGGATGAGTTGCCAATGGAATTCCATTGTGATTTGCAACTGTAGTATCCTTCCCGCAATGTAAATGGGATTGCAAGGTTGCTTCCTGCTTTGGCTGCATACGTAATACTATTGTCTTTTGCAGCTGGACTTCGTAAATCGTATTGGAGTGGCTGCATGAAGGCTGCGACAGTGATTTGTCAGCAGATTTTCTCCATTTTGGCGCTAGTGATTTTCCTTCTAAAAATCCTTTTAAAAAGTGCTTCAAAATCGTCTTTTTTTCGCTCTGGCGTCGAGATCCGGTTTTGGAGCTACAATTTCCGACGCCGTTGCGCGTAGTTCTATTGTGTTTTGCAACTCAGTCTCCGCAGATCGCATTGTAATGGCTGCGTCAAGGTTGCTTCGTGCTGTGGCTGCATTTGTAATACTATTGTCTTTTGCAGCTCGACTTCGTAAATCGTATTGGAGTGGCTGCATGAAGGCTGCCACAGTGATTTGTCAGCAGATTTTCTCCATTTTGGCGCTAGTGATTTTCCTTCTAAAAATCCTTTTAAAAAGTGCTTCAAAATCGTCTTTTTTTCGCTCTGGCGTCGAGATCCGGTTTTGGAGCTACAATTTCTGACGCCGTTGCGCGTAGCTCTATTGTGTTTTGCAACTCAGTCTCTGCAGATCGCATTGTAATGGCTGCGTCAAGGTTGCTTCGTGCTGTGGCTGCATTTGTCATACTATTGTCTTTTGCAGCTCGATCTCGTAAATCGTATTGGACTGCCTGCATGAAGGCTGCGAAATGGATTTGTTAGCAGATTTTCTCCATTTTGGCGCTAGTGTTTTTTTGTTGCACGTAGGTTTAGAGCAGTGTGAAGTGTGGGGCGTGAAGAGTGCAGCGTGAAGTGTGCAGTGTGAAGCAAGCAGTGGGAAGTGAGAAGTCAAGTGTGGAGTGTGAAGTTTAAGTGTGGGGTGCGAAGAGCGCAGTGTGAAGTGTGAAGTGTGAGGTTTGGAGTGTGAAGGAAGCAGTGAGAAGTGTGAAGTGTGGACTGTGAAGTTTGAAGTTGGAGTGCGAAGAGTGCAGTGTGAGGTGTGGAGTGTCGAGGGAAGGACACGGTCGGGACAGGTTGTCTTTGAACTATAGGTCATTTATGTTTGGGAAACTTCCGCCGCCGGCTTGCCCGGGTCTATGTTAGAAGATGAAGATTGGTTACAAAATAAATGGTTGGTGCAAGCACCAGGTGGATCACCTTTTGGTAAGGCAACACATAGCTGGCTTGAGAATCTCCCTTGATAGGGCTATCTGCAAGTGGATGAAAATCAGGGATGATCCTTTCCCAGGCTAAATTTCCAAAGGCATTCTTGTCAACCTGGCATTTCGATGCATTTCGGCCAATTTCAGCTACCAAACTTGGAGTTACCATGAGGTACTGAGCATATGTGGATAAATCATAACGACCTCACTGCGACGTCACTGCAAAGATGGTGGGTAGTGGTAACTATCCAAAAGTTGCCTATTTTTTTGTTGGGCGGGCAATGTATTATAACTTATTATAACTTATCCAGACATATGTAAGATTTACATCTCAGGCCTAGGTAAGGGAAGATACCAAAGATATGCAAGCATGATATGCCTGGATGACAAGCATCGTGACGCTTAAGATTGGGAACCACAATACTCATACATACCAGTATATAATTTTACATATATATATATACTGTGTATATATTGTGTATATATACATAGATATCAATATCAATATCCATGTTTCCCATACGTCCTGCTGTCTAATAGGTGTACTACTTACACCAGTTGTGGCCCAACAAGGGACACACAGCTGTTGGGTGTTTATGTCTCAGTGTTTGTTAATTGTTTTTCTTGTGGTGAGACTCATATCCCCATCATTTTGTCATATTTTGTCCAGGTATACATGTGTCATGTTTATGTGATTTTTTGTGTGTGTGTCTATCTATATCCCCATATATCATCCGTTTTCGTCTCCGGGATGGTTGTTTTTTGTGCCTTATCCACATGTTGGTGGTCATATTCCTTGTTTTGGCTTCATTTTTGAGCCAGACCCAAGGACGTCACTGTCAAGAACGTCTTGGACTTTCGCAACACCACGGGTTTGTCCGCCGAGGTTGTTCGGCGGTTTTTGGAACAATACGTTTTATTTTGACACAGAGCTAGCTCTTATCTTGAGATATTAATATGTTGCTGATTTTGTTGCAGCATATATTCCATAATCCCATACTGAGTCATACTGTATGTTATCGCATGTTATCGCCACATATTTTGGTTATTTTTACATATGTTGACCCAAGTTGTCGCACCGATCTCACGACGAGAGGCCACTGCAACCTCGGCGGTCTGTGCTGTGGCCAATCTGGATGACACGGTCCAGATGAGTGACCTGATGGGAGGGGCTCCAGTTCGACCACAGAGTTTTTCGTCGAATGTCAACCCCGGATTTTGCTAAACGATGGTTGATTAATTAAGGAAAGGCTCCCCTAAATAGTGATAGTAATAAATTGATATAACTGGTTTATTCCAGGGTTGACATGAGTTTTTTGAATATCAACCATCTAAGTCTTCTAAGTATTGGGGTACCCAATGGGTACCCAATGGGTACCCAATTTTGACTCATACCCAGTTGATTGGAAATTATATAGGTATAAATCCCATCTCCTAACGTTATGATTAGATAAAGCACCATAGCATGGTAATATGATAGGTATACGAAGGGATATGATAGATAGTTGATTAGATTAGAGGGGATTGGATTAGATTGGACTGGATCAGATTGGATCATAGAAATCCAGAGTGACTGCTTTAAGACTGACCCCCTTCGGGGGCAAAATCAACTCTTATCCACTCTTATCCACTCTTATCCACTCTTATCCACTCTTATCCACTCTTATCCACTCTTATCCCACTCTTATCCACTCTTATCCCACTCTTATCCACTCTTATCCAACTCTTATCCAACTCTTATCCAACTCTTATCCAACTCTTATCCAACTCTTATTCACTCTTATTCACTCTTAATTTTAAGAGTAATGTTCTTCACTCTTATTCACTCTTATCCACTCTTATCCACTCTTATCCACTCTTATCCGCTCTTAACAAATATGGTCGTTTCAGGATCAATGGGGTTTATCTTGATTTGAAATGGTGTATCAATGGCAAAGATTGTGGCTCAAAATGGATCTCAGCGAGAAAGATTGGGGTGCTCGGGTTGACTTCAAGTTGACACTGGGGCCGCCAATGTGTGTTGGGAGTGTTGACATGCTAAAAAACATATGAAATAGTCCTCGAAGGGGGTCACTCCCCCTGAAATGCATACCCTCTCATGGTTTAATGCCAAGCCAAGATATGGTTCAAATATTACTACCCTCCCATGGTTTTAAGGGAGTGACCCCCTCAAAAACACGAGTTTTTGATAGTTTGGAGATATTAATCATTCAAACATGAATACCCTCCCATGGTTTTAAGGGAGTGACCCCCTTAAAAACACGAGTTTTTGATAGTTTGGCTATATTAATCATTCAAAAATGAATACCCTCTCATGGTTTTGGGGGAGTGACCCCTTTCACCATTTGTTTAGTGGGAAATTGTAGTCAGGATGGCACATTGAAGCTCAAGAAGAGCGCTTCCAACAAATAGGAAGAACACCGACACATTTCAACTGAGTGGTGCAAAAAAACGTGGTGGTTTCAAGGTGACCTGGAGCTTGTGAAATCACATGAACTTTACCATTTTGGAATTTCAACTCTTATTTTTAAGAGTAAGTAAGAGTCAATAAGAGTCAATAAGAGCAAATAAGAGCAAATAAGAGTAGCAAGGGGGTCACCCTTAACACCATCACCTTAGCTTTCTATGATTGGATGAGATTAGATTGGATAGAAGATATAAATTTATATGTATATAGATATTATAAGTATATACATATATATATATATGCATATGTACAGTTCTGTGAAGATATGTATAGCGCAACCACGAAACACGTGCAAACCTTTCAGGTGTGTGAAATGTTGGCCTTGGATACTCTTTTCTTTGCATCTGAACGCAACATGTTTGTGTGTGTGTCAGATTATGGGGTAAAATATGGGAAACTACCAATTCTATCCAATTCTTATGGGTCAATCGAGTGTCTAGATATCCTGCGATGTTTTCTTCAGGATATCTTAGATCATCTCGTGTGAAGTCGCGACATCCGGTGACTTCCCTATTCTCAGTGCCACTTGGTTCCTGAAAAACCAGGCTTTCCATACAAAAACAGCTTTCCCGGTGTTGAGCAAAAATCCAAAAAGGTTCAATTCCCAGCCGCGGAAGGTATTCATAGCCTGAATCCCGACAAGTCGCGGCGCCCAGAGATCCCGTCGGGGAAAGGATGCCATGTTGGCGTCATCATGGTGACCGATGTCTATGAAGCAGTGTGCCAAGAGTGTAAAACTACGAAGTGCCCAAACTGCCATATTTAGATATGGATATATATATATATACAGTATATATATAATATACAGTATATATATACATATTATATTCACAATCATGGTCTATCAAAATGGAATGTATTACATGAACAGATGAGGGGAATATGATATGCATATATGATCATATATGTATATGCATGTAGTTGTCTAGTATGTTATATATGTGTTGTGTTGTTATTTATATATATATATATTATATATATATTATATATTATATATATATTATATATTATATATATATATTATATTATATATATATTATACATCAGCTCATTGGAAATCATAGACTTTTTTCTGGCCAAACACTTGTCCAGGTGGGTAGCCAACTTGGCCCCCAAAGTGCATTTTCAAAGTGCATTTTCAGATTGTTGAAAATGGTTCTATTTGCAGAATAATCTTATTGAAGAAAGGTGATCAAAGATGATCTATTAGATTGTTGAATAATCAGTTGATTGCTGAATATTGAGAATTTGCCTTTCTGTCTTATTCAGTACAATATGAATGGAGATGGAGAGGATCGACATTTTGTAAATCGAAAACGGGATGGCTGTGGACTACACATGACTAAAATGTGCAGCCCACGACTCGAATTGTATTACTCTCTCATAAACCAAATTGACAATGGAACATCCACCATGCGTGGTTGACTTGCGTTTTGAAATCGGGAGTTTCTCTTGCCAGTTGTTTTTTTTCACCAGAAATCATCCACCATAGTCTACCTAGAAGTGCACCATACCATGCGATGTTTGGGATCCATAGGCGTGGGTAAAGGAGACCACCACCTTATGCTGTTGACACAATAATCAACTATAGTAATCCCACGATAGAACACATCAGTTATCATGATCTATCACTATTCTAGAGTTGGATTTAAGTGTTTTATCTTTTTTGGGGGACTACTCTCTTCTTAATTTGGGGAAGAAATTTTCCCATAGACTTTCCGAAACATCACCTCAGTGCGGCCAAGGCCCTGGGAAGGTGCTATGGAGGTGCTGAACAAACCCGGGCACTTCATCAACACATTGCGTCGCTTTCCTCAGGCGAGGTCTGGTTTAGGCCCCAAGGTATCATAGCTACAATTAGTGAGGCCCCCGTTCGATAGCTAAGTTGGTGCAAATAAATCCAATAACTATGGTTTATGGTACTTATAACTATAGTTACTGTGGCTTTTGTTATCCAACTTATAACTGGGGAAGGCCACATTGTAGGCATAGCTAGGCTGATGGTTAGGCCGGTTGTTCGGCTCATGGTGGATAAAAAAAGGCGGGTTTTTCTCACCTCACTGAGTAGGGAGGACTTCTTGTTCGGTAAGCTGTGCCAAAATAATTGGTGAAGGATGGAATGTAAGGAGATGACCCACAACTGTCACACAAATTCATGGTTCACTGGGTTCACCAACAGAATTTCGGATCGAAAGCGTCAAAAGATGAAGGTCACATGTGAATGATTGGATAACCAAGCAACATCCTGGATTTTGCAAACAGAACGGGGATGAAATCACCATAAAAATGATGGTAAAGCCGACAGTGGCAACAGGGGAAGCTGTTTGGAAAGACAAGTTTCAGGGGATGATTGCAATCAGAAGCTGGTGGGCGCTTTCATAATCTTTCATATATTGTATAGATATGTGTGTCTTATTTTCCAACAGAACAGGGATGGTGATTCCAGTCGACTAACCGCGTAGTTGTGGGAGGTGTGGCTCAACCACCAGCATTCAGCCTCGCAGCAGGCAGTGTTTGCCAAGAAGGTTTCAGAGGACGCGGATGGGATTTTGTTGCTGCTGATTTGATCAGCCCAAAGCTCTGCTTGAAAGTGCATCCCACTAAAAAATGTGGATCTAAGTGGGGAATAATCATATTATAACACAGATATACAAGTGAATTACCCAAGGAATATATGGGTTATTCAGTTATTCATGGTTATTCGGTTATTAATCCTTTTCTCCAAGTAGGGTGTCTTGCCAGAAAAGCTGAGAAGGTAGAGAGAGAGAGAGAGCACGGAAATGGGCAGCAAAAACAAGGAAGAAGTCATGCTTGCGGAAAGGTGTGATGTGATTTGATCTTCTTCCGCATAGCTTCCCTTAAGCTGATCCTGGGAAGCATGAGATGTGGACCACAACTATTTCTAGTTTTCAATCCATCCAATCCATGGTTTATCCATTCTTAGCTTGTTTTTATCAGTACCAAATTCATCCAAATTCCAGGTGATATACTCATGTATGGTACCCTCTGGTAGTCAAACGAGGCTTGCCGGATTTTTTGCCGTATAAAAAATGATGATAAACACCCCGTGAGCAACAAACCTCCATTTAGGCCACGGGGATTTCCCCGCTTAACCTGTTCAAACGTTGGTTTAACACCTTTAGGTGTTAATGATTTTATGTCGGATGTGCATAAAAAATGATCATTTCAGACTATAAATTTGATACTGACAAAATTGCCATGTCTGATTATCGGAGGGAAATCCCTGGTTACTGTCCTTTCCCTCATACCGAAAATGAATCTCATCAGTACTCAACAGTGTGAAAACATGCGACGTTTTGTGAAATTTAGAGATATCGTTCAATGTCATGTATGTGTTTTTTTGAAATCATGGCGGTCAAAAGCCGAAAAACCCGATTACTCTTCTGTTCATATTAAGATTGGGATTAACGGATGGTTCACCTGGACCTGGTCATGGTAAATCATTTGATCCGGTGCTCCCAATCGTGATGTGAAAGAGGGTGTAGTTTTATCCCACTGGATTTTATAGGACTATACATATATATATATATGTATTATATGTATATATATATATTATGGAGGGTAAACCGCGGATCCGTTTGGGGTAAGCACATCCAAGTAATCAACCCAAGCATCAGCCAAGTCATAAAAATCATGCGATGCAATACTGATTTTTATTATTTTTGCTGATATCCTAAAATTTATATCTGTGATTAATAGTACAGTTGCAAATTCTTTTTCCATCATTGTCCTCCAAAATCTTCGTGGCACGTCTCTCCCTCGCCTGTTTCACAGTCTGCTGTGGAAACTTGCTTATTTACTTCGATGATTCACCCAGAAAAAGATAGTCTATTTTTCCATACACCCTCCAAATATCATCAAATACCCCGAAAAACGTTGGTAAAGGTCCTAAAGGTCCTAAATTCATGGGGTAAAAAGCAGCATTTTTTTGAGGCTACGGCCCGAGTCAAGGAGAACATCGTGGCGGCGCGGCACTTTCTGCAAATGGCGCGGCGTGGAGCCGAAGAAGCCCCGCCGGTGGGGAACTCAGTGGTTTGATGGCTATTTTTGCGGTGACTCCGGTGACTCCTGAGGGGAAAAATGGGAAGAACCAAGGATTTTATGGTGGTTTGATGGAATTTAATGATTTAATAATAGTTTAATGGTGCAATATGATGCAATATGGTGAAATGTTGGACTTTTTTGGGTTTGGGAATTGAATAGGATTTAGTGACCTGTTACTTGGAGCATCATGGCATCATTTTATGATGAGTTGTGGTGATTAGTCACTGCGGTTAGTGAACTATTGTACCATTTGTAAATGGAATATTTTCAGCACAAATCGGGGACCGTCCCCGTTTGAATGAACCACTTGCTAAGTGGATCATCCCCCAAGTAGAAGTGAAGAGATCAATGGAAATTTCAGGATCCTAAAGTGGAGCTACTGTACCATGTAAGGCCATATTTTGTGGGGAGATTTCCTTACATAGCCCTGAAAAATAGGCCTTACATTCTTACATGTGGTAGGTAGCTCCAATCTAGGAAGCTGAAATGGCCATTGATGAGATGATAAATCTGATAAATGGGATGATAATGACATATTATAATTGGTGGCTGTCTATGAAAATGAAATGTACCTCAAGTTTTGGCAGATTGAACCAGCGTAATCAAGATGAACATCTTATTTTGTGGGTTACAATATGTTCAGAAAAAACCCATAGGGGATGATATAATGAGTAAATGGGATAAAGGAAATTAGTTATTCTGGGCAAATTATAACGACCTCACTGCGACCTCACTGGAATCATGGTTAATTAATAGGGGCAATCATTCCAAAATGGCCTTATTTCATGTTAGTGAATTATTATAATTTACCTAGGTTATTATATAAAATGTGATGCAAATCATATGGGAAATAAAGTGGATAATGACATATATGATATAATGTCAACTAATGTGAGGTAGACCGGATAATACATCGGTTCCGATCAACGGGTTAATATCGTAGACCCAGTCATGTATGGGTTATGGCATCCCAGAATATGGATATCCCCATGATAAAGTCATCCTATATCATATATCATGTATGGGTTATCCCCATATGGTTTTTTGGCATCCCAGATCATCATTTTCTGTCGTAAAACCATGATGCATTCCTGGATGATTCCTGGGTTGTCATCTTTTCGACTCGAAGGTGAACGAAGCTGCTCCGAACGTGAATGTTGTTTTGAAACCTCACGCACGTTTGCGTCACGTTTGTGGTTTTGGCCAAACTTATTTCTAAGAAACTGTAGCAAGATGGTTTCTGTTCAGTTTCGTGTTTCTTTGGTGATTGAACCCGTATTAAATATGTGAACAAACCTTAAAACTGGACCCTCTCCGAGCGGCCATTATAGGCAATATTGCGAATAGCTCTGTATGATGGGATATATAACTGGTTGGTGGTTTGGAACATGTTTTATTTGTCCATATATTGGGAATAATAATCCCAACTGACTACTGTAATATGTTTCAGAGGGGTTGAAATCACCAACCAGATATATATATATATACAGTATCATTGGGCAATGGAAACATGGTGTCGTATCCCAGAATCAAACAATGGGAATATATTGTGTGCTTACATCGTTGCCCGGTTTTCTGAGCTCGCACGCAATCTGAAAGATGTGGATATTTGCCACTGTACTTTCTGGGGAGTTAATCAGCATCTCATCCTAATACCCAAACTAAACAGCAAGGATGGTTCCTGACTGGGATCTATAGTGCCATTGACCTTGGGATCTTGGGATTTTCACTAGGTGAAAGACCTCGGTAGATTTCATGAATCACTACAAGCTCATCTTACTTGTGCTTGTAGTAGGGAATGAGGGAATGATCCACAATAACTATTAATAGTAATCCCAGCAACCCCCAGCAACCCATCCATTCCCTACGTAGTTTCGCACCAGTAAGTCATTGCTCAAGAGAGTTGGCAGAAAGAGAGATGTGACTTTTGTAAAGTGTCTTCATCACGGGGGACGGTGAAGCTTAAGAGGTTAATTTCCAGGATCATCCGTGTGTCACAGTTGCATCGCATCTCAAATATCTCAACAGTACCACACAGTTGGGGGGTTCCATAGTCATGGTGCTACCCCCAACTATGACAATTGACTTAATTAACCATTGATGATTTTTAATCCTTAACATTAACCAAATCATTAACCCATGACAACCATCCATAGTGTTAATGGAAAAACCTATGACGATTGATGATTTGGGGGTAGGATGAGGATGAAAAATTCACAACTGCCTTGGTGACTTGGTCGACGGTCCGACGGTGTTTTTTTTTGCGTTGTCCAGTATGTCCAGTCCACTGTGGCCTTTGGGTTTCAAGATCCTTCAAGTATTTCTGTTCGTATCAAATTCGCTTGGATATGTTTGGATCTTACTTTCGTATCTTGTCCACGTAGATTCAAGGGATCCTACTGCTGTTGGGGACTCCGGAAAGCGATTCATTGATGATTGAGAAAACTGGCCGCCAAAGAGATTCCGAATGGCTTCTCACAGCCAGGGCATATCGCAATTTCGGGGTTTTTGATCCGAGGAAATTTGGAGGAAATAGCGATGGTAAATCCTATGGTTTACTGTAGATTGTCGCAGCCAAGTGAACCAAATGCAGTCAATTCATCGATCCTGTCAACCCCTCTGGCTGTTCAATTGGGGGAGGTACCGTTTCTGCAGCCAGTTATCCCTATGTTGGTAAAATCACTAATTAATCAACAAGAGTCTCTAAATCCATGGCTGACATTCCAGAGCTGCCCTGCCTCAGAGCATTTTTTTGCACATTGACACGTCTTTGTTGGTTTCCTTGGGGAAGACAGACAAGTCTCAAGAATACCTTGCAGATCCTTGCAATAACCTACAACTTGAGCAGTGTTCAAAGCCCCTGTTGATGGTTGTAGGGGATTATGGCATCCAAATGTATCCAATATATTGGGGATGATCAGAATGACAGAGGGTCCTGAACACTACTCCCCGGGCAATGGATACACAACAATTCCTTGAAATATCAATGTTTAGCGGATTGTCCCATCAATGGTATAATACTATAGATTCCCATTGTCAGTTCTTAATCCTGGAGGAAACAAATACTGATGGTTAAAGGCTTGAAGCTCGAATCTTAATTTGTGCAATTATATTTGGTTGGTTACATCACAGTGACACGTTTTGGTTTTAAAAGGGTGTTGATTTCAGCATTATGAGTTCTGCTTCTTACTTCCACAATTAACAAGATCGCTCCAACTCAGTATAGATAGATTAAGCATGATTATGCTAGATTGGTCATTTTGACCATATGTTACCTGGATATTTACCTTTTTTTTACCTCCTTGTACCTGCATTGGTGCATCCAATCTCAGGCAGTGGCTGCTGTACAACGGTGGATAGCAGCTGCCATACACTTGTGGGAGGCGCGGTGAACCATGGTGAACCAGCTGAAAGGATTCAGAAGCCGATTGGATGTGTGTAATCCTTTAGGATAACCATGGCTTGATTAGGATTGTTGATCACTACACAAGAAGTATCCCATGATAGCAGGTTGCTCAAATCCTCGTGGCACCCCCATGCCGCCATGATGAAGTCCTCATGATTCCTCATGTTTTTTCATGTCATTGTTCATCCACATGTTGTAACGGTTCATTCTCATGGTTCCAACGAAAATGAAACACCAAACGGAAGCCGTTCGGTGCAAGGTATTCGATCTGGTCTATTCATTCTGGGGGTCTAGTCGTAGGTGTATTGAATATTACCCTCTGGTAAAGCAACATAGACCCTGAAAATAACCCATTTTTAATGGAAACTAATCTTCCAAGTCCTATTTGCCAGGGTCTATGTTAATTTACCAGAGGGTATATCAAAAAAGTGATTGCGTAAATCCAGTCAAATATATTTTGCCAAATTGGAAAAACGCATCATACCCTGGAAAACAACATCTAGAAAGTTATGTCCGATCATTTTATTTGCCGTGAATTTTGGCTGCTGGCTTGGCAGATTGGTGGATCTGTCGGTGCTATGATGATAATGTATTAAAGTTATATTAGATCCTCTTTTTATACCGTACATAATACATATATCTATATACATGTATATATTACAAATATTGTATATAATGGTGTGCGTATTTAGATATATAATTATATATATATATACATTTACCATGTTTGTATAGACAGAGAGAGACAAAGCAGGGACACATTTGCTCTCTATAGAATCTGTTTTTCATTGTCAACATGACTCAAACGAATTGCACGGCGCGACGCCCAAAAAAAAATAACGCAGCTGGTACCACCTCATGTAAGAGATGAACAAAGAGCAGCACCAATACTTCAAAAAGGAAGCTCTTTGTGAAGTTGCAAGAAACGAGAGCAACCACTTCACAGCACGTTTCTGGTCTGTTTATGGCCATCCCAAGTGCGGAGCTTCGCACGTAACCAGAACGCTTAAGTGAGAACCTGATCAAATGTCGCAAAGAAATCAACTACGATTGGACTATGTTGGACTAGTAGTTTAGTCATTTAGTCCCTCAGTTTTAATGAAAAATAACCTTACATTAATTAATGATCCAAAATGGCTAAAGATTCAGTTTTTGTGGACTACCATTGACCTTGACCATGATTTTAGTTGCTCCGGAGCCAGGCACCGGTGCAAAAGCCTGTCGCAACTCCCCAGCGGGTAGATGCTTGGTGAAATCCGAGCCATCCTGGTGCAAAACGCGCCACAACTTGAACTTGAACTACAATAAGTGTATGTACCTTCTGGTAAATTAACATAGACCCTGAAAATAACAATTTTCTAGTGGAAACTAATCTTCCAACCCCTATCTGCCAGGGTCAATGTTAATATACTGGAGGGTAAATGAATCAGCTACTGTAGCTTGATTTTTTTGACTGTAGCATTACATTTATGTGTTTTCATGCTTTGTATTCTCCATCATGTTATCATATAGAGGTCTCGCTTAGTGACCAGGTCATGAATTTTGATCGTCCCAAAGCGCATTCCCATGACGTTTTTCTACCAGCACCGGTAGGATCCGTCATGGGATTTTTTCCACACCACACGGCATTGGCATCTATTGGCGAAACGGCCAAATTCGGCTAACCTCCCGCCTTTCTGAACGATTTGAGCCATGTTTTGGAGCCGGGCCAACTGCGGGTTTCGCCTTTCTGTTGATGGTGCCATTCCTATGAGAGTTTGATGTCGTCAAATTGGTCAGAAATGGCATCCGCAGATGCAGATCATTGGTGTGTTGAACTTTTTGCTCGCCTTCCAGCCTTCCAGCCTTTGCATCCCTGAGCCACCTCTCCGTCTTCCATGTGAATGGAGGAACCAGAACCAGCTGTGCTTGTGAAAATCCCTGTGTTCAACCGTCAGATTGATAGTTAAACATGGTTAAACCACGAATGTTTAACAGCATATCCATGGCAATAGTCCAGTGGAGCTGAACCAAAAGGTTGCGAGGTTGCACTGGTTTCCAGATGCTGAATTTGGCTTCTAAAGCATGAGGGGTAGTCGGTATATTGATGTATATTGATGTATGTTGTATACCCCCAAGTGATTGTCCCAGTAGGGACACTGACTGAGGATCAGTGGATTTAGGGCTAGCCTCATTATCCAAGGCCTCAAGAAACAATAGAACCACCAGCCTTAACGAATGCAGTCCCCATGGATTCGTTTGCCAATCCCAGGTTTGCAGAAACGGCTGGAGGCGATGTCAACAATAGCTGGACGGTTTATTTATGTTTATTTCATGGAGAATTTCCAAATACATCCAGGATGATTTGAGGGCACCTCCCATTTAAGGAAACCTCCATAATATGTTTTAGCTGACGGAATTTTTACCGTCCAGCAAAACGCATAGATTTTGATGGGGTGGGGTGGGGTGGGGTGGGGTGGGATGTTAACGTTCATTTGCACTTCCACACATACGTGATGCTACGCCACTGCTTGTTCTTCTGCAACTTCCACACAGACGTGATGCTACGCCACTGCTTGTTGACGTGATGCTACGCCACTTCTGCAACTTCCAACAGACGTGATGCTACGCCACTGCCTGTTCTTCTGCAACTTCCACACATACGTGATGCTACGTTGGGGTGGGGTGGGGTGGGGTGGGATGTTAACGTTCATTGGCACTTCCACAAGTACGTGATGCTACGCCTCTGCCCGTTCTTCTGCAACTTCCACACAGACGTGATGCTACGCCACTGCTTGTTCTTCTGCAACTTCCAAACAGACGTGATGCTACGCCACTGCTTGTTCTTCTGCAACTTCCACACATACGGCGTACATCAAGCAACTGTCTTGATTCGGTTTCGGGCCTCTTGAAGGAAAAAAACGCTGAGAGGCTTGTCGATGGAAAAGTTAAACCCTCAAGTTCGGAGACCCCTTTTTTTGCATCAAAATTGACGTTTCGCTATGGCGAAACCATGAATTTGTGCTAATTATGCGGACGGTAAAAATTCCGCCGGGATGTTTTAGTGCTGTGTCGTAGTGTGTTGAGACCATACTTACCAGTGATTGGGATGATTTGTTTCCTATTGGCTTTAATGTCCATTTTGTTGGTTGGGATGATTTGCTCACATGATTGAAGACAATGATGTTTGAAATCAAATGTCCCCATATTGCCATATTGGTTTTCCATATTATCGAAAATAAGTTACTGCATAGTATCATATTATTCTATATAATAGATATCACTATTATATTGTTCCCAGATTGATTAATACAGATAGTTATACAACTTCTTCTGATTTAAATAATGTGACTGATACAACTTAGTCTGATAATATCACTATCACTGATATATATATATAAATGCTTATCACCAATAGAATTTGCATCACTAATATATTATCCCGTCTTGATTTGTCATATGATTAATTACGTTTGAAACCCTATTCAACAGTTAACATAGTTAACACTGATTGGGATGATTTTCATGTTGGTTTCCCATATGAACGAATTATGAGAGCCCCCAACCACGAATAGTTTGATCCCCAGCAAAGCACAGCGCACTCAGGAGGTGAATTGCAAGATGAGGGACTACAAGCCTCTCCGGCCCAATGGGGAGGTGGGGCCACCAGCGATGGGAGCCATGGCCCTTTCGTAGATGATTTACCAACATAATGATTTACCAAAACAACGAGGGGGTGTTGCTACGTCAAATTACCAGAGAGTATATAACATTGTATAACTAACTAAGTATGGTGTGATTGCACATATGAAGGGTCTCATTGAACAACTAACAGCCTTTGTTTATATCCTTTTTCCATACTATGGTACCCGGTACCGGTGTTCAGTTGGAAACAGTTGTTGTTGTTGTTGTTGTTGCTGTTGCTGTTGCTGTTGCTGTTGTTGTTGTTGTTGCTGTTGTTGTTGTTGTTGGTGGTGTTGGTGTTGGTGTTGGTGTTGGTGTTGGTGTTGGTGTTGGTGTTGTTGTTGTTGTTGTTGTTGGTGTTGGTGTTGGTGTTGGTGTTGGTGTTGTTAGTGTTGGTGTTGTTAGTGTTGGTGTTCTTGTTCTTGTTCTTGTTCTTGTTGTTGTTGTTGTTGCTGTTTTTTCTCGAGCTTCGGCGCATCAAATTAAACACATGAGTGGAAGCACATGTTGTTACCTTCCAATATTCTGTTCAGATTTTGTTGCATTGCTCAACTACACTTCAACTACACTTCATTTACACTTCAACTACACTTCAGGGAGCGAGTTGATGTGATACAACCTACTGGTATGGCATACATCCGCTTATTATCCGCCCATGTTTGTTGGTGACTCTTAATATCACTTTAATGTTGGTTGTGTGAGTATTCTATAACATAACATTATACATTGTCTAATATAACATATAACATTATACATTGTTATCATCTCTGTGATTGTGAAAACATGGGTTGTTTCCCTTAAAAGGGGATGGTCATCAATTGATTCTTCGGGATTTGTATACCCATTGTAAGGCTTCCCATTGTTTGTAACTATATACAATGTTTTGATCATACCACATTTTGGCACAATATATTGTATTATTGTAAGTTCTTAGTCCTGTGATTGCTAGATAATATCATGTTAAATAAATGACGATATGTATTATATATATAATATTATATAATTGTTAGATAATAGCTAATCTGTCATCCTATTGGATATTTAATCCCATCACCCTAATATTAAGCACCCCACAAATGGTCCCAATTATTCGGAAAGTCCCTACTAAACCGAGGTTTCTAAGGGGGTGTTTAATATTCGGGCAATGGGATTATTACTGGTTGGTGGTTTCGAACATTTTTTGTTTTTTTCCATCTATTGGGAATAATCATCCCAACTGAATTTCATATTTTTCAGAGGGATTGAAACCACCAACCAGATTATTATTAACCATCATTAACCATATAATAACCATATATGAACCATCATGAACAGTATATTAACCACATATTAGCCATCATTAATAGTATATTATCAACATCGTCATACTGTTGATGATGGTTAATATATCATGTATCATCGTCATTAACAGTTAATATATTAACGATATTTATATCAACCAGATTATCATTGATATCATCGTCGTCATGTGTTCTCCTTATCTCTCCTTAAGTTTGCCGGCGATGTTTTTTCGCGCCATCTTTCGCCATCTTTGTAGGCCCGGCCCTTGCGCACTGACCGTACGGAGACCCGGGGGTTCCGGACCAGGGGACACCGGGAGGATGCTGGCAGTGAGATTGACCTCACCAGTGGTAAGCTTCATCATGTTCATTGTTGAAAAATATGTTTCAATTGTTTCCTTGTCGAAATCCAGAGCTACTTTGAGGTACTAAGGTTTGTCTAAGTGTTGCTGTCAAGTTTTTTTTCGGGACCAGAGAGATGTTTGGAAATGAAATAACGCATGCAAACGAAACAACATAGGAATTTTGAATGCCTAAATCAAAGTCCCTCCACGAAACTTCAATTGAAGGAAAGTTGTTCGCACTTTCCTGCAGTCATAGCACCCCGGAGGAAGTAAATCAGTTTGAATTCAGGATGGTTCAAGATGAAAACGCGAAGCCGATGAATGGGACGGTTTTGCCATGGTTTAGCCATTGATACGACATTTGTCATAGGCGTTTGCCTCAGCACACCTCAGCAACCTGCCGGTGCACTTTGCACGGTGAATCAACAGTATGTTAGAACCACACGAAGGCGAGAATTTTCATATAGTTGGAGTGATAATGCTGTTTGTTTTTTTGCACGGGACCCTTTTTTTTACAAGTAATGTCGTGGTTGGAAAGACTAAAGTCATAGGCCCTAAAACCTGAAATTTATGAGGCATCGATGAGTCAGAAGTTGAGTGTTTCATTCGACAGATGCATACATTGCACAGCAACTTATGTGGAATTGTGGAATACAGTACATGATGCTTCTGATGAGCTAGTTTCATTTTGATCAGACCCAGCATTATTTTAGGAACAAAAATGTTTCACTGTTGGAAGCTCAAAATGGTTCAAACCTAAAATTATACGAAAAATGGATGGTTAATTATCTGTTGAGATCCTGAACATGATCAGCCTTTTGTGGGCCCATAATGGTACCAGTTGTTAGAGACATTTGCTGTACCAGTGTTCAAAGAGCCTAGAGCTTTGGCTCAAGCTGGCCCACCGGGCAAGTTGCTAAAACCAAGATGTTAATCTGCCATGCAGAAAGAATAATTTCAATGGGCAAACAGCAACATGGCTGTGGTCCCAATCACCGCCATACCTTTATGATGTGTGTACACTTTTGTATACGATCGGTAGGTTCCCATGTGCAAGGTACCAAGTACCCTATGCTAAACTAACATAGCTATTGAAAATGGCCACTTGATTTACCCATTACTAGCATGGTGATTTTCCAGTTCGTTATGTAAAAGCTTACCAGAGGCTAATTCGAAGACAACAAGAACCACCGGTTAATCCACTCACCACACAAAAACTGGAGCTTGCGCAGCGGAAACGGCGCGCAAGGGGCCCTTTTTACGCTGCTGGGCTGCGATGTGATTTTTTCGCCATCAGCAGCATTGCATCACCATCACCAAGACAATCATTATCGTCATCAAAGTCATCAAAACAATACTCACAATCAGCATCATCATAATCATAACTAAAAAATAGTAATGCTAATATGATTGTAATATTAACGATAATCATAATATTAGTAATGGTAATGAACATCATTATCATCATCATCACCTGAGGCTTTTTGGGTGTCGATGGCTGTGGTGATCATCGGAGATGATCCTTTCTGGTGGTTTCTTGGACGGTGACGCAATGAATTGCACCGGTGTAACCAAAAAGGGGATGCCACGACATTTCCCTGTGCATAGAGCAAGTTTATACAGAAAATTCATGGTGTTTTCCGCACTTTGAAGCGGTCTTGTTGTAGAATTGGATATTAAATATATATATATATATATATTATATATATACAATTATATACATACTATACAATGTTTCCACTGCCCGACAAGCGCTACACATTTAGCATGTCCCTCCCAAATCTCACCCTAAAACCTTGTGTTACTTGAATCTAACTGACAATCAAAAGTGCAGAAGTCCATGAAATCATAATAATCATAATATGTCCCTTCGTCAAGTACGTTGGTTTACCAACTTAAAAGCGGTGAAGATTTCCAATACTCAATGGTGGAGTGGCCATTTCAGGAACCTTTTTTTGAGGGATACCTACCATATATATACTTATTATCTAGATATTTTTGGCCTAAATTTCATTGAGCAGCGTTCTCAATTCCCCCTTACTTGTTTAGTATTGGGCTTGCATAAACTCCATCAAGTCGTAAGACTTTCCTTGGGTTTCGTAAGCAGTGCGAAAGGTTTGACGTAAGCATTGGTCACAAACATGTTGCCGTAAGCCGTTCGTAAGTCCAAGTCGGGCCATGAGAGCTGGGGCTCAAACAAGGTTGTGTGCTTCATTTGGTGCATGCTATTGCATGCTATTGAATGTCGATGATTAATTATGCTATTAATGCCATTGCATATAGGGAAAGCAGGCCAGAGCGAATGCTGTTTTCTCCATGGTCTTGTTTGAACATCAAACCAAAAAAATCACAGAATCCGAATCGGAGATCGGAAATTGCCGTAAGCTCGGCGTAATTCGGCGTAAGCAATCCGTAAGCGAGTCGTAAGCGAAGGTTGCCTTCAGTGACCCCTGGCACACTGTGGTACTGTTTTATCTTTTTTTTAATTGGATCAGCTTCGTCGGCCGCATCTGCCGCACCTGCCCGCTGCAATTAAAAAAATGCATCTTCCCAGCATGTGTTTCTCACTAAAACTTCACTCTTTGGTTTGCCGGGAAAGTTTGCCGTAAGAGATGCGTAAGCTAGTTCTTTGAAGTTGTTGTGTCGTAAGCAAAACCTTGGAAAACGTAAGCGAACGTAAGCTCCTACGTAAGCTTTGAGTTCTCGCTCAGGAGATCAAAAGGAATTTTGAACACAGCTATGGTCATATGACCAAAAATATTGTACAGTAGCTCCAAAAATGAGGGTCCTGAAATTCGCACCAAAAATTAGCCTCTTTGTTGGGCGAATTTCTTTGAGAAGCCCAGAATCACATGCATTGGATCAGTGGTTCATAAGTGTGGGGAATAGCCATATGTTATAGTAATAAATGTTCTGGGTGTTAATAATAGCCTTTATAAACTTTATAGGCCATTAACTTTATAACTGGGGATATTATTAATATTCTATATGCAAGTCAGGTTTTTGATCATATGGGATCTAACATGGTTATAACACACTTACAATGCCTAGGATGCACAAAACAATGCCTGGGACACAGCGAAGATGATTCAATGGATCCAGGAGTTGTTTTTCAGAGTCAAACTATGACTGATTGGTGGTTTGGAACATGATTTTTATATATTTTTATGACTTTCCATATACTGGGAATATAATCATCCCAACTGACGAACTCATATTTTTCAGAGGGGTAGGTCAACCACCAACCAAATGAGTTTTCAGGGATGGCATGTAATAAGCTCATCCTCCACTGGGCAGAGCAAAAACTCCCAACTTTGGTATGAATAAGTTGGACTACCCTTTGGTAAACTAACAAAAAACTATGGAAAAACGCCATTTTCAATGGGTAAATCCACTATTTCGACTGGGCCATTTTCAATAGCGATCTGTTAAATTACCAGAGGGTAGACTATACAGTATGGTATTTAGTAGCGTGATCAAATGAACGTGGGAAACTCAATACCATAAACCATTTGGGATGAATGAAACTGCCACACATCAAAATGGTCATGATTTGGGGATCGTTTATGAAATTAGGTTTATCACATTGTAAAATAACACAACATCATACAACTTATAGTAGAAAGTCCCATCGTATTTCGGAATCCGGGACTGGTCCTGTTACCTGAGGTGGTGGATGCGCCTTTTCATAGCTCCTTGGCGAACAGTGTTTTCTGCCAAACAGCGGGGAGTGCCCCCTGAAAATATGGTGGTTTAATAGGGGATACTGGGATACTGATTAGTGTATGAAACTTGGTAAAGCTGGGTGAAGTTGTTTGTTTGGTTTCAAGATGTTTCAAGCTATGGTGTTTTTATCTGGCCAAACGGGGCAGCGATTGACGACCGTCCAAAGGAAGCAGGTTTGTTTAAGCATCAAACATGGTCAAAAGTGGTGTTACCCTCTGGTAATTTAACGTAGCTATGGAAAATCACCATTTTTAGTGGGAAAATCTACTATAAATCACAATTTTCAATAGCTATGTTAAATTACCAGAGGGTACAACATGTTACAATGATTATACAGGCACCTGCTAAAGTCGTGTCTGTTTGCACAGTTTTCAAGTTAGCTTCGAAACAATGTCTTGCAGAAGTCGTCTATTTTAGGCTTCCCGCAACCCGAATGCAGTGTTTTGATGATCTGTTTTATTTGTTGACCGATTTTCCATAGATATCCATAGATGGGATTTTTGATGATATTTGATGGATATTTTATGTTTATTTCCAGTCTAATCTGGCGTTCAGGTTGGTGTTTCTATGAAACCACTTGGGGTGTTGTTGCGGTGTGGCTTCATCAGCACAACTAGGCGGCTGCCTGTGCGATCTAGTGAATCTAGTGCCGGATGTAGCAAGGTTTGGGGTAGCAAAATGTGGGAAAAATATTGGTTGTACGTATGTTAATCTATCTGTGTGTTGCCCAGACATTCACATTGAGAATGTCGTGCTGTCGAATATATGATAGGAGAGATTGCAGAAAATACATGAAAATACTGCGTATATGCAGTGTTTTCCAGTTTAGGATTCAAAGTTTTCAGAGCCGAGGTTTTAGGGTTTGGGGTTTTAGGGTTTAGGGTTCGCCGTCTGGGAAATCTCAAAACACCAACCCTGCGCAGACGTTTGAGCATGTTGAAGGATAATGTTTAAACATGTTCGCCCCAACCTGGACGTTGCTCCACACTCACAATCGTCATGATCATCATCATCATCATCATCATCATGACACTAAAATTTGCCGCCCCCTCTGAACAATATGTTGGTTGGGGTAATAACATCAACTTTATCTTGATGGGGGATCAAAATTTGCCACCCTCTCTGAACAATATGTTAGCTGGGGCACTAACATCAACTTTATCTTCATGAGGGATCAAACTTCGCCACCACCTATGAACAATATGTTGA